CGCAGAACTTTCTGCGAGCCCAGCTGCGTCAACTTTGAACTTCCCTACTGGCTACTATATATACGTGCGTGCGCTATGGCCCGCGGGCCATAGCATACTCAATCCCTTATCCGTTGTGGCACGAAACAAAGCAACTACAACAGTTGTAATAGCAGTAGAAGGATCAATAACAGTTCGTCGTCACGACACAACAAATGTATCAGACTCACAGCTAGTAGCTGTAGAAGCTACTGCACTTCATGATGAGAGGACCATTATTGTAAAGTTGAGCGACCTGTAACCGCCAGTGAAATCGCACCCAAATGCTCGACAAGATCCCTGCATTGTCACTCAGACACAGAATCTGCATTCATGACCTCATCTGGTTTGTTTGTGAGTCTCGTTTATGGTCTTCGAGGGTTTGGCCCTATGTAGACGATACCTACAGTAGTCTAGCTTTCGATATATGATAAATAGCAGTAATCGGGATGGCCGGGGGACATTAGCGACCTCATCCCCCCCGGCCCCAAGGTCAGCTCACGACTCAACAACCGGGCCTTGCGGTTCTGGTCCCAATCACAACAATTGCCACACGGAAAGTCTGGGTTTGCAGCGATAAAAGGAGGTGCCATATCATCGAAAGCAGATTCAGGCTACTTCATATCAACAAGTTACTGAAAGGACATCTCATTACATAGTAGTCACTGCTGGGAGGTCAGGCGCTTCAAGTCTCCGAGCGTCTTTCGCATGCGGGTTGCGTTTACATCGATACATGTTGTCATCCTTGAGTCTCAGCATCTGGAATCATGCACCAAGATGGGCCAGAGGTGAGGTCATATACAAGATCTCCTCAACTTCTACGGATCGCCAAAGAGAAACGGTAACATGTTAATAACGATAAATGATCTCTTGTCGAATCTTCTTCAAGCAGACAACCTTGACGGACCCGCAACTGCATTCTCCGGCTCTTTCGCCATTTGCATCTGGGCTTGTTCAGGTTCAGTGTTTGGGGCGTCCTCAGGCGGTAGCAGATACTCTAGATCCTCATAGAGGTGCGGGAAGAATATCGCAAGCATGTCATCCGTCCTGCCCAGCAGACTATCAGCTCAACTCATCATGCGCGCGCATATAAATACTCACTTGAACACGAAATCACCCTTCTGCATCTTCTTCGCAGGCATGTCCACCGCTTTCTGGTTCGAGGGGAGCGCGAAAGGAGTCACATCCAGCGTTCCGGCCGAATTATCCTTCGTGTACAGAGATTGCCCTTGTCTTGCGGCAAGATCGAGGATGTTCCGCTCCACAGTCTCTTCAGCGTAATAGCAGTACACTAAGTCCTGATGCGTGAGACCAAGATTGGAAGCAGAAAGATGGACAAACATACCCTCTGTGGGTCGGGTCTGACCCATACGGTCGATTCGCGCAATCGCTTTGAGTGTGTAATTAAAAAGTTATATGGTTCAAATCGAACACGTTACCTTGGAGCTCAAACCCGTGATGGACGACACTCTCAACCAAGAATACACGCGAAGCACAAGTCACATTCAGCCCAGCATTTTCGCGCTCGCTGCCAAAATCAGATCGGACACAAAGAATATTGAGAGATGCACAAGTGCTCACCCGTGTAGGAGAAGGACTGAAATGCTAGGGTCCAATCGGAATCGGTTTGCTGCGCTTTCTTTGCCCTTGTGCTGGTCAATTCTGATAGACTCAATGCCTACGTCGAATCACCACTATGAATCCAGTGGCGCATAAGTATAACAGACGTAGCTTACCATTATGCGCAAGTGCATGCTGGATAACTGACGAGTGTGACAATTGAGTAAGCATGTTCCAGAACGAACTCATCATATACGTACTAAGCAAAGAATCAGCCCACGCCGAGAAAATGATACTCTTCGCTCCCGAATCAGTGATTTGCAGGTACAACAGATGTCGTACAAGTGTTTGAATCTTGCTTCCATAGCTTCCGAACGATTCCATCGCTTGAATATCCTCAAAGAGCGTGGGATCAACGACATTGTAATTAATTTCTCGTCTTGACATTGGAACGAGCTCGTTGTTGACGAGCCTGACAGGACCAGGGGGCGCTTGGTCGGCATTCTTCTTCAACGAGAACCGCTGCAGTTGATCATGATTTATTGCAACGCGGCACACAGGACAAGCTTTTCCCTCCCTTCGACTGACCCACTCCTTCAAGCACGACTGCAATAAGTTGCATCAGCAATTGTTGAGTTGTATCTGCACCACCGCGCCGCACCTCACAGAAAACATGTGCACTATTCGAGCATATGAGCGCAAGGATGCGTCTCGAACTATAGGCAACGTACCAAGGTGTAATGTATCCACGGGTAAACTCGGACCGGCAGAGGACACAGCATCGTTCGTCTTCGTCCACCGTCCCTTCCTCTTGAGACTTGGCGAGGTAGTCAAGATATCGTTGCCTAGCGCGATTAGTGTTGATTTTTGTCTCCAAGTCTCGGTTTTCAGTATGAATATTGACAATGGCATCAGCGACATCGCCCTCCCAGGCCGCCTCAGCGACAGTATCCGAAATCTCTTGTAGTTGACGGAAGTAGCTGGCAAGTACATACTTAAATGCATAGCCTACGGAAGATTATGGTGTGACACTCACGATATGCGCTCATTGAACGCCTTGCGAAGCTGTCCTAGATCTGCCTGTAGTCTGTCCATCAATTTTGCTAAGCCAAGCAAGCATCAGTATCTGTTGATGGCAGAGTTCATCATGCAAGCGAGAACTTACCCTGATCGGCGAGTAGCGTGCGCAACCTTTTCACTGCATCTCTGATGAGAAACCCCTCGGGATCATCCTGTTTGTAAATGCGCGCTGCGATATTGTGCAAGTCGACCATTACAGATTTGACGGCCCTCTGAGGATCAAATTCTTCCAGAAGAACTTTCCGCTCCTCGTTTAAGGACCTCAACAAGACCTCGTGTTCAGGAAGATTATGCTCTTCCCCGAGCGGTTCGAGCGGGACCATCACCACGTCTTCAAAAACCGCACCGGCGGCCTTCTGGGCTGCTTTGGTATGGCGAGAAAACTTTTCTCGTACGTCGTGCGTAGCTAGAAGGGTACGTTCCGCAGTGAGGGCTTCCCTTCGATCCGCAAGTAATGCCGCGTATGCTTGCAAGTAGGCCTCGGCCTCGCCTTGGGTCTCCAGACTCCGAGCATACTCCTGGCCATCCGCGTCTTGGTTGTTAGCCGTAAGTGACTGAGTCAGTAGGACAATGAGCTTCTGTCTCCATTGCCAAAGCAAGGCCGACTGTTCATTGAGAAGTCCTTCTATGATCTCATTTGCTTCTTCCATCTACAATCCATGTTAACGGTGAAGCCACATAGACAAACAACAACCCACTAGCGCCGCAGATCGAATACCGCCTTGATCTAAATATGAGGCTCCGATGTACAAGTCGTTCTCGGTGAGTAATTTCATTGATGTATCACGATTCAGCTGGGTCATAGCTCGTGCCGCTGCTTGCTCCGTCCCTGTATATCATAAGAACATGAAGATGCTTACAATGCAAAGAAAGCCAAAAAACAAACCTTTCAACAACAACCGCCTCAGATCTTCAGCGTCCGCATATGCTTGATTCTCGGCATCCGCATATGATTCGCCGAGAACATGGTATACATCACCTTTCAGGAACAGTACTTTATGGTGCGAGATCCAGCATTCTCTCAGACGATTCTGCAGAGCACCCCTTTTTACAGCATGCTCCTCCCTCGCAGGATTGCGAGGTAAACCTTCATCGTCCGAGTCCGACAGATCGGACAATGCCGAGTCGACGCTCGAAGCTCGCGCTTTTCCTTTCCCATTCAAACCGGGTGTAGCCAAGCCATGGGTCGCTCTTGAGCATTCATTATCTGGCTTCAGAGCTTCTCCTCGACGGCCATGCTCCGCGAGAGCGGCTTTCACTTCCCCAATCAACTGGAGGGCCTCCTTCTCAGCTGCTATGAGTATATCCAGGGCAAGACGATAACGGTCCGGTTGGGCCTCATCTCGTTGTTGAAGCTGGGCTAAGGTAGACATCATTTGAACCTAAAGATACTCAGCCGGAATGAATATCTACGAAGATGTAGCTCAGCCCTTACCTTGTTGCGACGGTCTTCCATCAAGTTTCGCCAATTCTGTTCGCGCATGCCCTGCAGAAGAGTATTTAGAGTGGCACATCGTCAAACAGAAAATAGAAAAACATGCCTCGAGTACCTCGCCTATGGTCTTCAACACACCAGGCTTATGCAGCTTGTCTGCATTGTTCAGCAACTGGCCCACTTGTGGATGCGTACAGATCCCGCGAAGCTTCCGAAGCCAGAAGCGCAGAGCAGCTGTATCAAGCTCCCAATCTGCTCTCACAGCGACCCCACGGGCATCTAGACCAAGATCTAGCAAAGCATTTTCAAAGTTCTGATTGTAAACCTATCAGTATCTGATCAGTATGACATCTCAAGGCAACGTGGTATTCTATGACTCACATGGCGTTCAATTCGACCCAGTTCAATGGGCACAAGATACCGTGTTTGGTGGGGGATGGTCAGTTCTTCACTGACAGCAGCTTTGACCGTTCTGGAAGATAGATAAGATCGGCAAGTCATGGGCGAGGGGTAACTTAGTCAGCGCTACCTGATTGCATAGCGACAGAACAAGGACGTAAACTCATTGACATATGCAGGTTGTAACAATCGAAGCCAGACGCGGGGATATTTCACGACTTCGTCAATACGTAGGAATCTGCATCAATTATGAGTATCAGGTTCCTAGTACAAAAATAAAACTTGAGTGCACTTCACAACATGGATCAAATCCGCTGTCTGCGCGCGAGCTGGGGTACCCGACACAGCAAACGACGAAACCCTTGGGATGAGCGAGACCATCTCTCTTGAATGATAAAGTTGGTAACATGTTTGCATGATGAGTCAAGGGAACATACTCAGCCTTGCCGCCGCCTACCATCTGCACTTCGTCCATGATAACTCTGTACCATTGGCACTTGACGAGAGGACTCCGTGCCCGCGCTATATCACTATATTGCGTACCCGCACGACGGGGTCGCGTAGGAGGTGGACGAGCAACCCCAAGGTCCTGTTGTAGCACAGCGTACGTCGTGATGCACACATCGAATGTATGAACATATGTACACCAGTCAAACGGCGCGTCATCTTCGTCTTTTGCATCTACAGTGGGATCCGTGCTCCCATCCCCAAGTTCGCTTGCAGGCGCCCTAGACGAGCGTTTCGTTCTCGCGGCCGGTGTGGAAGATCTTGACTTGCTATGTCCTTTGAGCTTCTTTTTTGATTGTATAGCTCCCAACTTCAACTGCTGTTTGAGAGCTTGTGCGAGAATTGGTGTTTTAGACCAGCCGTCATACATGAGCACTTTTAACGTCGGAGCATGAAGAGCAAGTTCGTCCGCCCATTGACGCGCCAACGATCCAGGAGTAACGATTAACGTGGTCTGTAGATAGGGTCACTATACTCCGAGTAACGAAAATAACACCAGCGTCTGTGAGCATACCTTGATTTCTTTTACCGACAGCTTCGATTCGGGATCCCAGCGACTGTTGCTAGGATCGCGTCCAATTGAAGGATTGAGCAGTACTAGTGCAATACATTCCAGTGTCTTCCCGAGGCCGGGTTCTTCAGCTAGAATACCCCCCAGTGCTGGTTCCTGTTTCTCCGGCACGTTGCGAGATATGATACCTCGCAAACGATTATACCAAACCGCATCTACTCCCAGTGACACTTCCTCCCAAAACAACGGAAGTTTGCTTGACGCCGCAGATGCCTTGGGCACTTCAGCGTCGGGTATGATGGCACCGCACTCAGAGAAGCCTGTGGCCTCGCGAGAGAGCATCCATGCGACACTTCGCCGCTGGAAAGGGAGCAATGTAGGAAGAAGAGCCTTGGGCTGTGCAAGCAGCTCCTCCTGAGACGTTCGCAAGCGCGGAGCCGGTCCAAGAATCGAATAAAGAAATGGAACGTCAGTTGCACTGTGGAATGAGGTGGGATATGGCCCAGTCGAAGGGAAAATATGGAGGAGAGCACGGCGCTGCGCTTCCTCGACATCACTCGCGCGCTGTTTGGAGGGTTCGATGATAGGCTCGAAAATTGTTGGAGAAATCAGGGATATTTCGACCTCTAAACATATGCGAAACACAAGCACACCTGGGTAACTGACTATTGCACCGTCGTTCGAGTAGTGCAAATACGCGTTCACATTGACCTCAGCACGGCCTGCCGTCTCCAGGACGTGGAAGGCACTAAGAGGATCAGCGAGATGTTGGAGCCGTATGTCGTGTGCGGCTGTATCAAAAGTATCGTCCACCCCTGGGACAGTCAGCACGTACGACCGGTTTTCTTGCATACATGCTGTTAACACGGATTTGCCGCCGGAGCGTTTCTGGGGCTTGTTGACTTCCAAGTGCATTGAACCCAAGTCAAAGCTGTGAGATCCCTCCTGCGATGCAACATGCTCTTTAAGCCATCTTGAAAGCTTTACCACGCCTACACACTCTACTCCGACTTCCTCACGAGATCCGGGAGACTCTTCTCGACAATCGTCCTCTACGAACTCTACATCTTCATCAGCTTCAATAGACGCGGTGGTAACTGCTGCCTGAATCGAACAACGCGCCGCGAGCTCGGCCTCCTGCGCAAACTCGACCGTCCCCACGTCGTGACTAGGCACAAAACATTCGTACCGAATATCTAGGACATGGCGATAAACACAGATAGTTTCTAGGTCTTCACTCGCTCGATTTTGGCTGTTTAGATGTTCAGTCTTTGAAGGTGATATACGTGCGCGCTTATTGGGACCAGGGGGTGTTGGTGGAGCAGCGCGTTTCTTTCCTTTGCTTGTGGCCACTCGAGACTGCTTCAGTAAAGACAAGACAGCTTCAAGGTCCACATTACGCTGATCAATCACCGGGTCAATGAGGGGCTGAATGTGAATAGTATTCCCGAGTCGCATAGGGTAGGTCTATAATGACAGTGAAGCAGAACGTGGTGCGGCAAGGTGGTGGCAACTGGCAAGCGCGAGAGACGCTTTAGAGATCTTTCGCTAGATGACATATTTGAACCTCCGACCACAGCGCGCTGATGGCCGTGACCCCGATCCGTGGGAGACCCCGTATGTGGAGTCAGGACCTCAAACTCAGTCGGCCATAAGTATGAGTGGCAGCCTTGCGCTCTCACATGTCTGCCATTAAATATGTACGTGGAAATTACATTCAGAAATAAATACCCATCACTATCACATGGAATATGTAGGAGGAATGAGAGGTGAAAGATCCAGTGACTCAATCTGCGCACTGTCACTGCGATCTTTGCAAGCCCCGTGAGTATCTACAGGCGACTATCAAGGATATAGTAACAATTTCCACGAGAAATCCGGGTCTTCCGTTACCTGCGATCCGGCGCAAGCTATCCGTCGATCCTATGTTTACAATGAGTCAGATTCCCTCACGGCCTGAGATTCCCGCGCTTGATTAATATGGTTCCATCTAAAGATATTGAATTTCAACTTGCTCTCTGTAGAAGGAGCGCTTTTCATGTCCTGCCGCAGGGTCTTCATCAACAATGATTTGATTTCTGCCCACTCCGGCGAGAATGGCGCCGCTTGCGGTAGCCTAGATCTTGATGCTACCTCTGGCTTTGGGCCCCCCGACGGTACCGCTGGCTGCGGTGGATTTATATATATGTATCCTGAGCCTTGTCGTTGAAGACTCCCAGCCGTACTCGTGTTCACCGAGACTGTCAACAATACCCAGGTAAACTTCGCTCTACTATATGATTTGGGAAACTGAAACTGACTATCAATCCATTTCGGAGAGTCCAGAGTTGACTTCTTCGTCCTTACTTCGGAAGGAGTTTTGGCCAACTTGCGCCATAGTCGCTCAAGAATATCTTCCGCTCGCAAGCGTGGTGTCGAAAGATTGAGGACCCGAGCACGACGTTGAATTTCGGTCGTATGCCGATGATTAAAAAATTCAAATGTAATCTCCTTCGATAGAGGAGAGGGACGAGGTCTCCACTCTTCGATGCTATCGTACCCACAGTAGTCATGCTTCCGTCCACGAGGAGAGAGGTGAAGCGGTAAGGCACGGAGAACCGCGCTGTTGTCCATTTCGCAGGTTTGGGGTTGACGAGGCGATGCAACCACTATCCGGAAACAATACACGACGTGTTAATCCGCAGTGGCCGTCGAGAGAGTCAGTTGAAGCCAAAGGCAAGGCGAGTGGCCGGAACCCTCCACGCTGCCTTTAAGATATCTAGAATGAACAAAGGCATTACGTGATCTGCCACATATCGCCACGCTCCGGCCATTACAGAAAGTTGTGGGAGGATGGATAGCAGGTCGTTGGTCTCGCTTTGAATGAAAAGGATGCTGTACACTGCAAGTCACACCACTGGCAGTCTAGGATGAGCTTCTGTACTCAATGCCTTGGTTCAGCTTGTCATACTTCCTAATTTTATAGATTTGGTGCACTCACTCAACTCAATGCTCAAAATATATTGTTTACAAGTACAGCACCTTCGCGCGTCCTAGAGCTTTCAATAGGTTTTCAATCGACGTCACCCACGCCCTCGCACACTCGGTCGCACGAAGTTGTCATGATCAATGGAGACTTGAACATCACTTCTATGCTGGTTTTACTACTTCTTACGCTCATGCGCCCACCTCTGCGTCCGGTAAGACGAGGTTCTTGAGCGCCATTCGTTCCCACCTATATGTGGCTTCTTGTATTTCCTTCGCTAGCTCGATTTGCTTGGCAGCTACGTCTTGAGAATCTCTGTGAAATTGATCGAACTTAGTGCGAAGTAGCGGCTTTTGCTTGGTTGTACGAGATTTGAGAGTGGAGGCTGTTCCGTGGACCTTGCATCTTAGCTTATGCACCCAAAAGTCTTGAGGAGCAAAATACTCGCCTGAAAACGCTCCGTTCAATACCCTGGAAGTTTTTTGGGTGATGTCTCGGCATCGATTGACTCTCCTGGGAGTATAAACTCGGTTCTAGAGAGTTCCTTGAGCCAGGAACCAATCAGATCATCGCCTGTTTGAACTCCCATTTCCTCCCGCAGCCTCTTCAGGTCAGCAGAGGTTACTCCTCGCGAAACGTTTCGCGGAATCTTTGCTATCTTAAGTGTCTGGCGGCCACAAAATGGGCAAGTTTGGTAAGACGAGTCATATCGTTTCCTCTTGCGAGATGCTTTTTGCAATATTGCATGCTCATCAGACAAGCGCAGCTTGGATTCTGACCAGATATGCTTAGAATTAGGAGGCTGAGTTGGTCTTACGGAGTAGCTGCTGTTCAGTCACTATTGAATGCAAAGGCAGCTTAGACAATTCACCTGGACGTTCTCTCACAGGCATCTTGAAAATCACTGCCTCGCTGTCGACCGGCGTCGGGTATCCAATGACAGAACGGTGACGATGATGGCTGTAGACTCCTCTAGAATTACTCGCATCGCCCTCTTGTCGCAGAGATGAACACGATTTCGAACGGCAACGCACTCCTTCTGAAGAGAGAGCTAGTCTGATTAGAGACGACGTGATATCCCTCGAAAGAGATGAAGGATGGCGACAGCAAGGAGTCCCTCGTCCTTGAAACCCGCGCTGTCTCTTCTTTTGTAGGAATAGGTATGACGGAATCGCGGTAAGCACACCATCTTTGAAGTGTCGACGTTGCTTTGCCGCGGCGATCGGCTCGGCCATCGGAAGCTCTGGAAGGCAAGGATTCATGAGTGCTCAATATGCAGCATGTACAATACGTGGAACTGAGGAATCAGTACTGGTCCGCGCAGATCATAGGCGGCATTACATCGGTAATAATGTTGGGATTGTCCTAACTAATAGCATTACTTGCCGTAGTACGTACCCAAATCCCTACGTGCATCAGCATTCAAGACGGACCGCATGTGGCCGCATATCTTATTAAGCAGTAAATGGTCTTACAGGAGTAGCGTATTCTCCATCCATCATACATCACGAGGCAACTTTCTCCACGATCTGGCCGTCTTTCGCTTCTCGCTCTCGGATTTCTCTCCGACGCTTCACATCCCAATTATACACGCGCGCTGTGTTTACCTCCATTACGGTGATTTGCTCCCGCAAGAATTCGAGATCTTCTACTACACCTGCAAGATTTTTCTCTGCTGACTCCAGCTTCGATCGCAATAAGGAAATGGCTGCCGGGAGCTTGTAGGAAAGCATAACATTTGCCTAAAAGTAGATCATGATTCAACATTGCAACGAGGACGAGCAGAATGCTGTCAACACGTACTCCAAGCCACAAGTAGACAGTATCAGTGTCTTCCAATTCTGCCTCTGCATAAAGGGTATCGTTCAACTCGAAAGTCGTGCGTATTGGTTGTTTGGAGTCTCCATCGCATGACTCATCTTCATCATCCAGGTCGTCTTCATCTGCGTTAGCGTTAGACTTGCCCTCCTGGATTGAAATAGTTATATTAGCCGAACACCGAAAGACTTCCGATAAGATGAACTCACTCACTCGCCGCTCTTGAAGAAAGTCGACCATGGACAAAGTCTTTTTAATGTCGGGAATCTTTTCCTCGAGTCCTCGGCGGCGCTGGGTGAGGTTGTGGTCCATGTAGCGATATTTCCTTAGGTCAAATGTATTATAACCACCGCATCGTCAAAAATAAAAAATACATACGCAAGGGCAGCCTGGAATTCCTTTAACGCCGTTTCAACGTCCGGAGTTGGACCCATATAATCTTCGACATCGGCCTAAGACATATGTTCCTCCTTGAGCGATCCGATGAACATGCGGTATGAGAGCGTACAATGAAGGGAGCCTTCGGAATTCCTCTGGAATTCCTCTCTTGATTTTGGTCTGCTCCAGAAGACATACCGGCTGAGCACGCCCTCGATTGAGGTAGATGAGAGAGAGAGGTCACGTTGTAGCGCTCAAAGTAGGAGATGGAAGCGCTCGCTTTCGGCATCCGCCGCAGAGCATAAATGGCGCGCATTTGGTTCTTTTTGTGCTGGATCCCTTTGCTTGACTCTTCCTCTTTCTCGTGCTCGCCGGGTGTTAATTATTTTCTCAATCCCCCATGCCTTCATTTGGGACGTTCTGAACGTCCTCTTTATTCAACACCAGTGAACGAGACCTTCTGCACTGCGGCTATCTTTGGCAACTTCCGTCAGGACTGGATGTGCCGAATGTCATGTCTTGTGAGTATCCATGCTTTCACTTGACTTTTCTCCCGCCCCTCAGCGCGTGGAGGTTATACGTGTTGCACCGTGTTCGGGCAACAGGTGTAAAGATGACAAACCTGAATAGGGACATCAGACTCATTCGTGAGGGTGCTGATCCACTGGGAAACCATGATAGTAAAACATTTTCTGATTTTTTCTTTTGTTTCTGCTCGGCTGTGCGGACTACAATTGATGAAACTTTTCGCAGGGAGTTGGCTATATTGCTCAGTTTCTCGCAAGATCCAAGTGTGTGTTGGTGTTGGGACGACGATGACGGGTTGATGGTGATGCATATTCATAAATTTACTTTGTATAGTGCGTGAAGCATTTACCGAGAGCATATGGGTCAGTGTTAGAATATCTGTCGAGTTGGATTCTTGCTTGTGACTCTTATGGATAAGCATTGTGATGCGACATTCTCCCTCCTGGTTACTAATGTTAATCTGAATCATCTTTTGCTCCCTGCCAATGTGGTTAAATTGATAGCCGGTCACCTACAGTGGCTCGGACCAGCCTGTGGAATGCACACTCTGGGTATATAATGATACATCATCAACCCATGCGAGGTTTTATTTCAGATCTAGAGAGCGTCAGGTGTGAGAAATTGTGGGACTGATTGAGGAAGATGACAACTGAGGAGGTCGAGGAAGAATTTCGACATTGTCAGACTTATCTGAACGGATGCTATTGTTCGAATCTGGCATCACTAGAACATTGCAGATAATTGCACTGGGTAGTATGGTGGCGAATTATCATGGTCCAATTCACTGTAAGAATTTACCAAACATCCTACCAGCATGGAACCCGGCCATGGGCGTCGCAGGTGGATGTCCCACCCGCGTGGCAACTATTCTAGCCAACTACCACACCGGCTGAGCAGGACAGGGTCGCTGCCTCCGAAGGAAGCGACGTACACCATCTCATCCTTCGAGCCAACCGCCGTGGTCCTTCCGGGTCTAGTCTACGCCGTACGGCTGAGCTGAGCCTCCACGATGGCGGGTGGACGCCGGATATGGACGGATCAGGGAACCGGTATAGTGCAGGTGGCGACGCGAACGGAGAGGTGGCGCAAGGCTCGAAGGATGAGCGCAAGTATTTGTATCTATTAGTTTCCGGGGCCGTTGCACAACATGTGCAAAGAACGCCTACGCGTCCCGGGAGCAGCAGCCACTGTCCAGGTACGACTCCCTCACTCGACGACATATCAAAGCATTCCGCATCTATGGCTGCCACTCAACCAAAGATAGACATTAACGCGTATCTCGATCAGGGTATCTCAGCCACACCTTCCGACCTTCACCCTTTTTTCGAGTCTTTCAGGACTCTGCACAGTCGTAAGTGCGTAATTCGGTACTCGGGACGGTTGGAGAATTCTGACTCGCGGACAAAGACTATGGCACCAAATGACACTCAAGCTAGCCGAGTTCTTTGACCACCCGCTGTCAAAACCATATCGGGTAGATGTGTTCAATAAGTTCGTGCGGGACTTTGAGGCGCGACTGAACCAGCTACGGCTGGTGGAGATGGGTGTCAAGGTCTCAAAGGAAATCGACAGTGCGTTAAATTCTATGCTGCACAGGTGGTCTACTCACAGAACTGCAGATCCCGCTAACCATCTCACCTTTCTTACCGACTTGCTCTCTCGCGTGAATACCGAAAAGGCGCCAGAGGCCCATGTCCTCCTTCTCGCAAGCCTTGCGCATGCAAAACTGTTGTTCGGTGACCTTGAGGGTACAAAGACAGACATAGATGCTGCTTGGAAGATCCTCGACGAGCTTTCCGGTGTAGACAACATTGTGAATGCCGCCTATTATGGGGTAGCTGCCGACTACTATAAGGTGAATGCATGTTCTGGTGCACCGTCTACCTAAATCTAATTTCTCCGTAGGCAAAAGCAGAGTATGCACCATACTACCGCAATTCTCTTCTCTACCTCGCATGCATAGACCTCGCGAAGGATCTGACAGCGGAAGAGCGGGTTGTGCGCGCACACCATCTCGCCATTTCGGCATTCCTCGGGGAGACGATCTATAACTTTGGCGAACTCGTAAGTTCTATGGCTCGCCTGCAGAACGTGCGCACGCTCATGCAGGCGTAGCTGAGCCATCCGATCCTGGACGCGCTAGACAACACGCCGCACGACTGGATCAAGAAGCTGCTGTTCATCTTTAACGAAGGGAACATTGGAAAGTTTGAGGGTCTTTCGCCCGTGTTTGGCAAAGAGGTGTGTACGCTCAGGTCCGCGTGGACGCCGTGAGGCGACTAACGTCCCGCACAGCCGATTCTGCACGAAAACTATCCGTTCCTCCGGCAGAAGATCTGTCTTATGGCACTGATCGAGTCGGTTTTTAAGCGCAATGCGTATGACAGGACGATGTCGTTCCAGACCATCGCCGAAGAGACCCGGCTGCCGCTCGAGGAGGTCGAGCATCTGGTAATGAAGGCATTGAGGTGCGTCCGATCTCTATTGGTAGTAAGACGAACGCAGATCGTGACGCTGAGTTGGGAACAGCCTGAAGCTCATCCGCGGGTCGATGGACCAGGTCGACCAGAAGGCGTACATTACGTGGGTGCAGCCGCGCGTGCTGTCGCGGGACCAGATCGCGCAGTTGGCGCAGCGGCTGGCCGCGTGGGGGGAAAAGCTACATACGGTGGAAGAGCGTATTGCTCCGGAGGTTCTCGTGAATGCTTGAACTGTTCGCTGCGTTGTATGAATCCTTATAGCTATTAGACAATTAACTTGCATCACACAGCTGGTAGCTTCACACTTTCTGGAAAATGATGCAGTTGTCATCAGGTGCGGAGTTTCCTCTGCTCTCCCAAGTTTGATGTGCGAGAGATCCGTGCCGTACAGTGCAAAGTGTAGCACTCGACTCGTACGCGTAGCATTGACCGACAAGATCAAGATCAGGATATGGAAGACGCGTGCAGGGGCGAACTGTAGGATGGACCATGGTCATTCATTGCGATTCACGGGAGCGCATTCAGGAGTGCGCGCAATGACCTCGCCTGCATCATTCATTCTAACAGTGCATTACGCAATGGTTACTTGCAGGCTACGTTTGCCAGTTTGTGACATCGATTTGGGTGCACGCTGGACCGCGCGTGGACCACATACGCAACGTGAAGCAGTGCGCAGCGCACAATTACATGCAGTGGATCTGCATTAACTTGCGATGCCGTCACTGATACGAGGTCTGTGGACTGCTCTGTCACTGGCATCTGGAGGCAGACAATTCGATAGGTGTGCCAGTGGTTATGTAGAATGTGTGGTTTTTCGACACTGTTTGCTTGTGCCATAATATTCCGGAAACACGTAGTTCCGATTTAATCAGAGCAGCACAACAGGTAGCGTGCATTTACGAATGCATGTGTGGCCGAGAGACTGGACGAGATCAAAGGGTGGCGTGAACGCTAAAAATGGAAGTCCGGGCAGGGTGAGCGGCTGCATGTTCTCCTCGCGTCCAACGCATGCCACCCTCCCCTCTCCTGGACGCGCCCATCCCACCGCAGCCACGACCTCCGGTTCGATAGCCCGTTCGTCAAGCAACGTGTCTCACATTTCCCCAGTCTTTGCCTCCTGCCTTTAATATCCGGGCTCGGCTTCAACTGCTATATTCCTCCAGATCGCCGGATACCACTAGTGACGACAAACTGACGACGTTGAGCTCTTCGCAACGTCTTTGACATATACGCCCATGACAGGGCCCAGCGCAAGCCTCCCGTCGACGTCGACGTTCTCCTTTACCGCTCCGTTTCCGCCAGAATCCTCAGCAGCCCCCTCGCCCCTCAAGCAACGCCGGGTATCGCTCGCGTCTGCCGCTTCGCCACGCCTCGTTCCAGCGTGGAGCTTTCGCGATGACACAGGCCTTGGTGTCCATTCAGGCGACCAATCCAGCCCTTCGGAAAAGAGAGGCAAGATGCGGAGAGTCGACAGTGGCGGCGACCGACCAGACGACGAATATGCCCAGCCCTATTCCGAGAAGAAAGCCAGGAAGAAGTGGACAATGGAGGAGACACAGATGCTCGTCAATGGATGCAATAAGGTATGTGTGGCATTTGGTTGTCCTCGCAGTTAATTTGTGCTCAATGTATTCTTATCGCAGTGGGGTGTCGGGAATTGGAAGTCTATTCTGAACGACCCGGAGTTCAAGTTCGACAACCGTTCACCAGTTGATCTCAAGGACAGGTGAGTTGCTGAACGTCACTGTTGTCCTTTTTCTATTGTCAGAATCGTGCATCGGTTTGTTCTCATTTTCGTGCCGCTCGACGCTGTCACTTGATGCACATACGAAAGCGTTGCTACGCGCGTTCGCGAAACGAATTACATTTACCACTCTCATGTAGAACATCTAGCCACACAGGCGCTGTGTGGCTTGTTATTTTTGTCCTTCTGATGTCGTTGGGCAGCCTTGTATCTACTGTTACGTTGATATGTCCAATGATTCCAGATTCTAATCCCTGCGTTTTATAGATTTCGAACGTACTTTCCAGACGCATATAAGCAGCATTATCCAAACGCAAAGACGCATCTCTCGTCGAAAATACGCTCTGCCCTTCCTGATGGCACCTCCATATTCGAGAAGACGCGTAGCAAGAAGCGGCGGCCATTCACAGAGGAGGAAGACCGGGCATTAAAGGCGGGGTATGACAAGCATGGGACGGTATGGGCGACAATCGTCAAGGACCCTATCTTCCAGGAACAGAACAGACGCTCGACCGACTTGCGCGATCGGTTCCGCAACGCCTTTCCAGAACTGTACCAAGCTGCAGGGTATAAGCCTCGAGCGCCGGCGAAAAAGAAAAAGGGTGACATGTCTCAACCTCTGCGGGCTGCTACCGACGATCAACTCGCGTCAACCAGCGCGACAGGGCCTGTTAGGCGAAAGAGGAGAAACACCACCCAGGGTCTGTTTCGTGGCGGAACGAAGAGTGTACCGGAGAGTGCAGCATGCTCCGAAGATGAGGATAGCTCGGAGGGCGAGGATGAGGTAACACGGTCTATGATCAGGGACGGGTTACAATCCGCACCACCTGAACAGATGACGCCCGCCTCTGAAATGTTCGCCACCGAAGTCGACATGCAACCAGCGGACACTGTCGGGGACGGTCTATCCTTCCCCGAATTGCTCTCGAACTCATCTTTATCAGAGATCACGGATTGCTCTTCGCAGTCTCAACCATGGTCTATGCTCGACACCCCACTACATTCGAGCGCCTGGTCTACCACAAATGCTGCCTCGCCCACCTCGTCTCATATCTCATCCGACTACTTGCTGAATAACTCTCCGTTTAACCGTCGAGCAGAAGGCGCCGGGATGATGATCGGCAAATCGGCATGGGGGCCTCAGGACTGGCTGTCTGCGAATCCTCGTCTCGATCCGTCCGGAGCATGCAGCAGCAATTCGTCATTCATCGGCGGCGTTTCTCCAGTTCCATCTTCCCCCTTCTCGTTCGCGCATCTCAATCACGGTGTTCTGGACCGGTACGACCTCTTTCCACCATCACTTGCTCACGATTTTGCTTCCGAAGTCGGCGTGGGTGACTCGCACTCAACATTCTCTGACCCTGATATGTTCACTACGAGCAGTTTCCGCGGATTCACGCATCACTCGAACTATGCGGGTGATTTAATTTTCGGTGCGCGCAGCCACCAACCGCACCAGCCATTTGATTATGGTCCGGGCTTTGGATTCGGCAGCGCTGGACTGGGGTTGTCTGGTATGCAACAGTCCTCTGCCGCGACGGGCCTGCATCCTATGCAGATGCATACGCCGGCGTTGCCTGGGATCGACGAGATTGAACTGACCTCTATCACGCTCGATGATCATGTCGATATGCACGATGCAATGGAGGCGGTGGAGACTGTGGTCTCGAAGGATGACCGAAGTGTCGCTGCGGGTCTTGTTGATCTGAGCACGTTTAATCTTCCGACACGGACTCTCGAGGAAATCGTCGGCATCACACCGGAGCTAAATGCTACGCCACCTGGCACTCCCCAGACATCGTCTCGGTCTCTCCGACACTCTCATATACACCTTACCTCATCTCATAACCGATCTGTGTCTGTCCCGCCTTCGGAGCATCGCGCGGCTCTGCCCCGGGCAGCGCAAACGCAGGTGCTGAAGCCACGGCCATTGCTACATGGTTCACCGCGATCGCACTCGATGGATATTTATTCACCGGAGCAAGACATCTTAGCGCAGGGCCAGTCGCTCCAGCCCGATATGGCGTACTCGGCAGACAATTGGCGATCCCAAGGCGACATGTACGGGGTTCCGTACCTCGATTTACATTACTACACATCGTCGGCAACTAATAACGCGCCTCCCCCGATGCCTCTAGAGCCGGACTTGGATTCCGCGTACGCGAAGTCGAGCTTGGATCTTGTGCGACAAGGTCAGGCGCTTGATCTTGCGGAGACTCTGGCATCTGCGTCGAGGGCGATGGCCCTCCCACCGTCGCTGATGCAGCATATGCCGATGGTTTCACATAGTGCGAACAGCACCCCCCCTGCCACAACGCGCATGCTTCCGATGCACCATCGCGGACAAAGCGCAGTGTCCCCGCAGGACTTGCTGCTACGCAAGGGAAGCGACAACAAGCGGAAGCGGTCGAGCTGGGACGGCGGTATGCATTGAGGGATGTGTGCAGTGTTGTGTAAGAGTTTTGATCGTTGGTTACGATAGATTATGGCATCTGTCTCGCTTTGCATGGAGTCGCATGGTATGGATTTTCAGGTTTATATTTCGTTCGTATGCACGCATGTTTTTGTTATTGCACTCTAGTCTGCCTGTCGCATTTTGCATCTCGCATCATCTTCGCCTTCGTGCTGCACGTTGGCGTTCTCATTATCGCTGTCTCCAATGCATTCATATATTGCTCCGCATTTATCTGCCCATGCTCAGCAACAGTTTGTGGAACAGACCAGAGCCGTACTGCTTTTGAGACACAGCATGCATGTTGAATTCCGAACATTCCCGGAACTGCGTGGTAACCAAAAGTTCTCTGAAGCTCAATTACGGTCGATTGACTTTGTCTATGGTGGAAGCATTCGGTGGTAGTACAACTGATAAGGGATTCTGAATAACATGGCACTTGAACACATGGGCGATTATCAGTAGCTGGCCCACATCATGCATATCGACAGCTGTTACCTTGGAGACTGCACTGGCGGCTTCAAGTTTACGGATACGCCAACTTAGTACCTTTCGCGGCGATTTGGGCCAGATAGACTTTGGTCTGAGCGAGGATGACAAGCTTGCCCGGCCCAGCAAAGACCAGATTGCACGACACGGTGCCCGTGAAGAACTTGCCGATCAGGATACCATCCTTATTCCATACCTGCAATAATCCGGTCAGCTCGGTTACGGTCTGCAGAACGCACTTGTGAGCTGTAAACTGACGTGTACGCCGTCCCCACAAGATGAGTAAACATTTCCCATCGTATCCACTTGGATACCGTCAGGGAGGCCAGTGTCAATGAACGCGAAGATACGGGGGTTAGTGAACACTTGAGTTTTAGGGTCGACGTCAAATTCATAGCTACGAACAAAGTTGGCATCAGGTTGTATTCGAGCATCTGGGCAGATGGCATCCCTACATCGCAGCGGGATTTGTCTGGTTCCTGCCCAGAAAACCGGCGGATGCCCCCGTATCTCCCCTAATTTGTCACAGTGTATAGCGCATGAGCAAGTTGAGAGTTGTACCAGTACACGTCTGACATACACATATGCAATCTTTCCGTCTTGAGAGAATGCCAGGCCATTCGGCCTCATCAACACATCCGTCACTACGCGCACATGGCCTGTGTCGGGGTCAAAACGATATACTTGATTGGGCATGCTAGGGAGAGGGCGGAAGTGCTTCAAATATCCATAGCTGCGAATGTCCTCAATCGCGCTATAGCTGCTTAATTTCCGCACATACTCACGTTACATCGGTGAAGAATATCTTGTGACTTTTAGGGTGAATCTTTCCATCGTTGAGCGAGTTGAATGGTCTTCCGTAGAAGTTGTCTAACAGCACAGTGACGTTGTGTGGAGGGGCCGGATTCACTAGCGTCAACGAAGACGGTAACTCTCCTCTTCCAGAGTTAATGAGCAGTAAATTTGAATGGTAAGGGCCCGTTGCACCCCACGTCATCTGCCTGGCGTCGGGGATATCGAGCTTCACAACGAGTCAGAGAGCCTTGCAAGTCTGATGGAGGAATGTGCTTACAGCAGTCACAGACACGTTTACCGCAGAGGTGACATCGCTCGCTCCTGACAGCGCAGTATACACTTCTTTCATCTCCATCTTCGAGATGTAGTTATTCTCGTCACAGCTTCCCCACCCGAGGTCTTCTCCACAATGACTGGAGAAAAAGACTTGATCGGTGTCTGGGTGCCATACCGGCGCCTCGTGAGCAAATGGGATACCAGGAACTGACGCGACAAGGTTGATGGATGGAGAGCTACCCAAGACTGAGAGGAAGGATGGGTCGAAAATCTGAATGTGTGGAAGCGCCGCGTTCGTAGGGTTGAAGTGTGTCTTGAACGCCTCCGTTCGGAAGCTCCCATCTTTCCCCATAACATTGATAGACCGCGGATCGATGACCTACAGAAGTAAAGGCGTCGTGAAATAGACGTCATTTCATAATGCTGCGACGGTGACCTGACCGTCACTTACCACGATCTGAGGGGATAGGACTAGCTGATCCAAAGACACCGATGGACTTCGCACTGACCACTGCCAGGCCGCGAGACCGGCCAAGCCAACCAAACCGGCTAGCCAGTACATTGCGATAAGGTGATAGCTACTTCCCCTCCACTAGAATACGGCAGAGCAATACTGTGCTGAAGGACTGGATGATAGACTAATTAGTTCACTGTGACACAGCGCACTTTGCTAGTGGACTGTGACGAGGTGAGAGCGAGGAGATGACATTGGCATCGCCCAGCCTCACGATATATCTCCCTCTTGCCGTGATGCAAACGAAAAGAATCTTTCGTGTAGAACGAGCTAGACAACATAAGACGTGCACAGGTGACCAGACTCGGGGAGCCGTCATGCAACCCTGCGGAGTCAATTGCACGCGCCATCTCTATATGGCAGGAATGTCATCATAGCAGCAGTGAAGAAGCAGGACCTCCGTGATAAGTCACTGGACTACATGAGCTGCGATCCAGTAACTTGGTGCGAGGAGGTTTCTGCAATGGGCCGAAATTGATACCGCGGTATGTAATATCAAACACATGTACGCACCTGAGCAAACATGAGACGTCCTCGTGATTGTAATGGACGACTGAACGTTGCTCGATAATGAAACATGTAGATACGAAAGCTCGAATCGACACAGTCAGACACATCAATCCAGTCAAAAGGAAATTCAGCTTGGCATTGCGTCTCCGCAACGACTCTACAACATCAAAGAAAACTTCTATTCTATCAGCCCCTAGATAAAACATACCTACCTTTCCCCCAGTTTAGATCGATGTCTTGCCTCTCGGCTCATATGGCAGAAGCAGAGCAAGTAGTCCGCTGCCTATGATCAGTGCCCCCGAAACATACACGGGGACAGCCGTCGAGAGGTTTGCATAGAGCGCGATCACTGGAGCCTAAGGCGTATAGCCCGTCAATGAGGTTTAAGGTGTGAACTACGTGAGTGAATGGACATACAATTATTCCGAATACACGGGTCGCAGTGGCGGTGAGGCCATTCCCTGTACCACGATCTTTCGCGGGGAATACCTCTGGCGAAATAGCGTACAAAACGCCGTACATTATCTAACAAGCATCCGTGAGTTACTTTATGACAAACAGGGCAGCAATGCACTCACATTACTCGCAAATGCGTACCTAAAGGAGAAGGAATGCGTCGTGAGTATTCGACGGGCGGACTCCGCTGAAGGTCACGGTTTGCTCACCCACAATTCCACCCGAGCAAGGCGTTGGAGCTCCGGGCGGTGGTACTCGCGAAGAGAAAGACACCAGTGAGCCCTGTCTTTCGCAGGGGGTCGTTGAGTAATGTAAGCCCGCACAGGCAAGAGAATACTCGCCCGCCGAGATAGCCAATGTGCCCTTGCGTCCGATGTTTCGTCGTTCTACCGCCCAACCAGCGCAAAAAGCGCTGGGGACGCCGATGACACCAAGAATTACCTCCTGCAGGGGAGTGAATCAGAAAAACCGAAAGTATTTGCATCTGAAGACATACATTGCGATATGTAGTGTAATAGCTACTGTCTCCGAAGACAGCACCGCGATGTGCAAGCCTTAAAAGGTATCAGCATTGAATTGGACCGCATGTAGACGGGTCGTACTGACAGGTATGGCAAGAAGCTATTGTAGAGCGTGGAAGCAAGCCCAATTATACCTATGAATACCGTCAGAACTCGCACTAAATTAAATTTCCTAGCGTCACATACCCCAAAGAGCAATTAAGAGACTCGTAGACCAAGCAAGCTTTGCTGTCTTGAACAGACTCCTAAAATGATGAGTGTTCCACACGGAACTGTCACTCAGTAACTTGTGTCTACGCGCGGCAGCTTCGGTAGACGTCTCAGCAGCCGCTGCACGCTCGCCCGCAATTGTGAGCTGTTCCAATGTGAGAGT